CTTCTCCCCCATTGGCTCTGCCAGTCCAACCCTATGCTGCCTTTAAGATCAGTTCTAGGCTAGATGTGGTGGCTCATGCCTGTAATCCTGGCACTCTGGGAGGCTGAGGTGGGCGGATCGTTTGAGCTCAGGAGTTCGAGACCAGCCTGAGCAAGAGTGAGACCCCCATCTCTACTAAAAATAGAAAGAAATTAGCTGGACAACTAAAAATATATATGTATATAAAATTAGCCGGGCATGGTGGTGCATGCCTGTAGTCCCAGCTACTCAGGAGGCTGAGGCAGGAGGATCGCTTGAGCCCAGGAGTTTGAGGTTACTGTGAGCTAGGCTGACGCCACCGCACTCTAGCCCGGGCAACAGAGTGAGACTCTGTCTCAAAAAACAAAAAAAGACCAGTTCTAATCTCACCCCCACCATGAGGCCCTCTCAGATAAATGAACCTCCCCTCCCACAAAATACCTTTCCGTGGGCTCCTGCCCCGCTGATGGTATGCTGCGCTGAGTACTGCCTACCTATTGTTGTCAGCTTGGGCTTCATGGACCTTATCTCATCTTCCCACCTAGATTGCAATCTCCTTCTAGGCAAGAATCGAGCCCTGTGCTCCCCTTGAACAAACTGTGGAAACTGACACGGGTCTGGACATGGTATAGCCAGGTGATAAGGGCTTGTGGGTGAGTGCACGCAGGAAGACAAGCCGGGGTGGGGGCGGTAAGGCCACAGAACCACATGCCAGGCACTGTGTTTCATGATTCATCTGCCCTGCCTCATCTAATAATAACCGTGGGGGCTGGGCAATATTATCCCCATTTCAGAGATGAGAAAACAGAAGCTAAGAGAGGTTAAGTGACTTCTTCGAGGCCACAAAAGTAGAGTCATCCCTCGGTATCCATGGGGGATTGGTCCCAGGATACACAAAGATACTAAAATCAGCAGATGCTCAGATGCTCAAAGTCCCACAGTCAGCCCTGGGGAGCCCAAAGACACAAGACACTTTGCTTGTAAATAGCAAAGTCGGGTTTTAACCATGGGTCTGATTCCTCCTCTCATAACCTTGCAACCACCACATCTGTGGAATGCAGTGTGCTGAGAATCAAGAACTTTCTGGAATTTTAAAGCACACCCTGTCCTAAAGAGATCAGAGAAAGCTCTACATTAGCACTGTCCAACAGAACTTTTGATGATGGAAATGTTTATTTCTGTGCTGTCTGATACGGTAGCCACTAGCCATGTGTGGCCACCGAGTACCTGACATGTGGCTACTATATTTAAGGAACTGGATTTTAAATTTTATTTCGTCTTTACGAATTTAAATTTAAATACTGTAGTGTAGATACATTTGGCTAGTGGCTACCATATTGGACAGTTCTTCCCAACCATGTTCACGTCAAGCCAACATAGAAAATGATAATAATTGTATAATAATGAGGCTGCCTCCGTGACTGGGCAGCAGCGAGGCTGCTTGCTGCTGGGAGCAACTGGCTCCAGGGGTCCTGCCCTCCTGGCCCCACCCAGCCTCCCTGGGGGTTAGAGAATCAATGAATGACTCAATAACCGTTCCGGGCACACCAGCTCTTTATGATGGGCAAGGTTCCTGCCAGCTCCCAGCCTCTCAGCCTGGAACCCCAACGTCGTCAGGATCGTGAGAAATCCCAGCATGGGAGGTGAACGGGACCTTTCCCCCATCCCACACACAGTCGGTGCCTGGCCCAGGCACCCAGCCCCGACCAAGCACGGGGCAGCAGGGATGGACGCAGCCTCCCCGCCTTCACCTTCCAGGCGCCCACAGCCGGTCACTGATGGCAGGGCAGGACCCTGCTCGCTGATCTTCTTGGCAGCACTTTGGCGCCCCCTCCTGGGCATCCTTCAGAATGCCGTGTATGAGTTTGCCAGGAGGAGGGGCGGACTTGGCCCTGGGAGAGGCCTCCAGCCAAGTCACTGCAGTGGAGGCAGCTCCTTTCCTGGCAGGGGAGGTGGCTCAAGTGCTGAGTTTGGAATGGGAGCATCCCTGGGGGTCCTGGCCCCCCGTGCGCTCCCCACTTGTTCATCGTGCCAGGCCCTGGACTTGCAGGGAGAAGCCAGACAGCACAGGTCAGCGGTGGCCCTTCCAGAGGTGCCCGGGAGCAGGTGAGGGGCGTGAGGTGGAGGCTGCTCTGAGCGTGGGAAGAGCTGGCCACGTGGAGAGAGGAAGAAGGAAAGGACTTTGCAGAGGAGGGGTCAGCAGGGAAAGCAGCGGGGGTGAGGAAGAGGGTGGCTGCTGGGGAATTAAAGTGGCCCAGGTGGCCCAGGAGTGGAGAATACATGTGGAGAGGGGCGAGGAGGTGAAGCAGCCCGGCGGAGGCTGAAGAGGTGGCAGCACTCTGCTTGCCCTGGAACTTCCTTCCTGCAACCCCACCCTGTCCAGCAGCCCCCAGGGCCAAATCGAGGGCTTCCGAGCCTGGGCGCTGTCATCCATGGCCACCATGACAGACCCAGGGCAGGTGGGCATGGGCTGCACAGTTTGGGGGATGCAGGGAGGGGAGAGACCCAGCACAGGAGAGAGAGAGACTCGCTTCAGGACCTGGTGACACTCCTCCTCTCTCTGGGCCTGCTTCCCCATGGGTAAACTGGTAGATTGATGGTCCCCGTCAACTCCAGCTTGACCAGGAGATAGGAAGAGAGTGAGGTGTGGAGACATCTGTGCTTGCGGAAATGTCCCTCCCACCCAGGGGGTGTGTGGGTGCGGGCTGTCCAGCCGGGCTCCAGTGGCACACACCTGTCAAGTGGGGTTCTCTCCATGGGAGAGCTGGGTGGTGCAGGGTCCGCAGGGAGGGTTAGATATGTGGCTGGACCACTGAGGCTTATGGGGCGGGGGGTTTGTTGTTGAGATTTCAGCCTTACACAATCTCTCTATAGCACAAGGGAGGCCTCTGTCAGGTGTTCTCGGAAAGCCCAGAGCTGTATCTCCAAAAGTCAAAGGAGCCCCCTATGAGTTCCTTCCCAAGGTATTCCCAGGCCCAGGAAAGAGGGAAGAGTCCCCAGTGAGCCCTGGCATAGTTTCGTGGAAGCTGCAAAGTCAGTAGCATCTTAGTTCTAGCATCTTTGGGTAAACAAGGCAGACTGCGCTGGCAGCAAGGATGGGGAGCAAGGATGGGGAGACACGGCCCAGCCAACAGGCACGCGTCGGCTGACATAAGTCCCTTCCACGAAGCATCGCCAGGGTATCGGGAGCTCTCACAGGCCACACCTCCGGCAGCGTCTCGCCAGCACTATGAAGAGACAGGGCGGGACAGGCAGGGTTAGGCCTCGTTCCGTGACCATAAACCTTCCCTCCTGGAGGAAGAAATGCAGAGGTCAGCAGTCCCCCCACATTTCACAAAAAAAGGAAAACAAAACTCACAGTAGAAAGGGGCTTCCTCAAGGCCACATGGTACGTTGGTGACTTGGTGACAGAGAGAGACATAGATCCAGATCTCCTTGGAAAGCCTCAGCAGCCTCCTCACACTGCGGGGCTCGGGCTTCCGTGCCCACCCCATGACACCTGCCTGAGCAGAGCCTCTGAGACTGCGAGTCACCCCCCAGGGGCGGGAGACCAGGCTTCCAGGCTCAACTGCCATTGGCTGCGGTGACCTGAGCAAGCCACTTCTCCTCTCTCAGCCTTGGTTTCCTCAGCCGTACCATGAGGGGATGAGTTTAAGGTGTCAATTCTAGAAAGAGCCCATCAGTCGCTGTCTTGGTCAGCTTGGGCTCCTCTAACAAGATACCACAGACTGGGTGGCCTAAACCAGTGGTCCCCAACCTTTTTGGCACCCGGGACTGTTTCATGGAAGACAATTTTTCCCAGGGCCCAGTGTGTATGTCGGGGGAGTGTTTTGGGATGATTCAAGCACATTTACATTTATTGTTCACTTTATTTCTATTATTATTACATTGTGATATATAACGAAATAATTATACAACTCACCATGATGCAGAATCTAATGCCACCGCTGATCTGACAGGAGGCGGAGCTCAGGCGGTGATGCGAGCCATGGGGAGTGGCTGTGAATACAGATGAAGCTTCCCTTGCGCCACAGCTGCTCACCTCCCGCTGTGCGGCCCGGTTTCTAACAGGAACCGGGTACTGGGGACCACAGGCTTAAACAACAGAAATTTATTTTCTCACAGTTCTGGAGGCTGGAAGTCTGAGATCAGGGTTCTGGTGAGGGCTCTCTTCCTGGCTTGCACGCAGTGCCTTCTTGCTGTAACCTCATACGTGGGGAGAGGGAAGGGGGTAAAGGAGAGAGGGGAGTGGGGAGAAGGGAAAGAGAGGGGGAGGGAGACTCTAGTCTTGTCCTCTTCTTATAAAGCCACTGATCCCATCATGGGAGCCCCACCCTGGTGACCTCATCTAAACTAATCGCCTCCCAAAGGCCCGCCTCCTAATACCATCACATTGGGAGTTAGGGACTCAATGAATAGATTTGGGGGGACACGAACATTCAGACCCTAGCAGTCGCCCTCACTTCAACCTTCTGGTGACCATGGGCTCCTCCCTGCCCTGCTCTGTTCTGAGTGTCCCCACCTCTGTTCCCATGGCTGCCGCCTGCCCCGAATCATGACCTGACTTCCACCTCTGGTCTCACCCCTCAGGCCCTCTGTCACTCCTGCCACCTTCCTAAAGCACCTGACACTTCCCTCCCTCCCCACCTACGAGCCTTCCGTGGCTGTCACGGTGCCCACCCTCGCCTTGGTATGCAAGGCCTGGCCCTCAGCAGCCTCTCCCCAGCCCTCCTCCTCCGGCCCCCCCTACCTTTGTGGTCTCTGTCCCAGCCGCTCTACTCCGCCACGGTGGTGCCTGAGCAGCCATAGACCATGCATGAGCAAACAGGAGAGGGTGCGTTCCCATAAAACTTGTTTATGCGTACTGGAATTTGAATAGCACATAATTTGCACATGTCAAGAAATATTATCTTTCTTCTTTTCATTTTTCTTCAACCATTTAAAAATGTAAAAACCGGCTCGCCGTCGCCACCAGGAGGTGCCGCTGTCGCCGCTGCGCCTCTGAGTCGCAGATCCTTGCCAGCACATTACAGCATTTTTGTTGAACCTTTGTAAGAATTCGGAGACACTGCTGAGTGACCACTGAAAAGAAGATCTCATCTTAAGGCTTGTGCGTGTTCTATCCATCATATCAGAACAATGTCCTACGTTTTTGTAAATGATTCTTCTCAGACTAATGTGCCCTTGCTACAAGCCTGTATTGATGGAGACTTTAACTATTCCAAGCGGCTTTTGGAAAGTGGCTTTGACCCAAATATTCGTGACAGCAGGGGCAGAACAGGCCTTCACCTGGCAGCAGCCCGAGGGAATGTAGACATCTGCCAGTTATTGCATAAATTTGGTGCTGATCTTCTGGCCACAGATTATCAAGGAAACACAGCTCTTCACCTTTGTGGCCATGTGGATACTATTCAATTCTTAGTTTCCAATGGACTCAAAATCGATATTTGCAATCATCAAGGTGCTATCCCCTTAGTTCTAGCAAAACGCAGGGGTGTGAATAAAGATGTCATCGACTGCTGGAATTTTTGGAAGAACATGAGGCAAAAGGATTTAACAGAGGAACCCACTCAAAACTGGAGACCATGCGGACAGCTGAGAGTGAAAGTGCCATGGAAAGCCATTCTCTCCTCAGTCCCAACCTACAGCAAGGCAAAGGAGTCCTTTCCAGCTTTCGAACCACGTGGCAGGAGTTCGTAGAGGATTTGGGCTTCTGGAGGGTCTTGCTCTTGGTCTTCGTCATAGCTTTGCTGTCTCTTGGCATTGCCTACTACGTGAGTGGGGTGCTACCCTTCGTGGAAAACCAGCCCGAATTGGTGCATTAAAGCAGCTCATGGGAGATGAGGCAATTGCCTCTTTCCTGGCTTTGTATTTGTTCTCAGTTTCCCAAAATTCTTTTAGTGCAAAGCAATGAGGGCTGTACATTTTTCTCTTTGCATTTTTACTTATCATAATCCTTTTAGATAATGACGTGTTCATTTGAACTAACTACACCCTATAATCAAGTAAACTGCATCCTAACGCTACCTCTGATTCAGCCTGACTTCTTAGGAAAACCTATACATAGCCTTGTTGACAAAAACATAGAAATGACTAGAAAATGGGAGATAAAGGAAGAGGCTATGAAGTCTTTGCTGTCAAAACCATACTCTGATAGGACCAATTGAAGTATTGAAAAAGCAAAAGTATTTCTTACATGATTAGTTTTGGGCGGTGGTTTTGTTTTTGTTTATTTTTGCAAGAGCCCCCCTTTTTTCTTTTTATTTACTTTCTCTAGGGATAGGGGAAAGTTTAAAACTTGAAGTACATTTTTCGAATCTCGTATAGCAAATTAGTATTGTTAGGATCTGTTTGGTTTATTTTAATATTTTCGAGTCTAATCACAAACCAAACAAAATTTTTGAAAATGAGCTATATTTTCTTCAAAAATGATTGATTTAAATCTTATATTTATTTGTTTTTAGGATAATTGTTTTTGTAAACTACATTGCTTGTTAATATCTGTGAAAAATAAACTTGAAGAATTTCCAATTTCCCCTAGTTTTTGTTTTAAGGGTATCATAGTCATCAAAATTACACTCAGAAAACACTTTTTTCTACTGAATAGTTAGCACGGAAAAATAATTCTGATATTTAATTGTCACAAGTCTGTAGTGCTATTATTATAGTGAAAAATTCAGTTCTATAAGCTAGGCTGTGTTGTCACAGTTGTATCATAGTTCATGATTATTTCATGTGCAATCCTGTTTAGCGGCCTTCTTAGACTTCTCTTAACAGTCCCATCCATATCAGCAATTCTCTGAAGGCAAGAACGGATGGAGTATTTCTGAGTTAACAGAGCTGAACAATATAGTACTGGGTGTCATAAACTCTTTATGAATGGTAATATTATGTAAATCGAAATCTGGCTCCCAAACTATATTGCAGCTTTCAGCAGTATGTTTGAAAGCCTCTTTTGTTAATGATTCTGTAATGTATAAATCGTATTCTTGGGTTATTAAAAAAGAATATGAAGGCTTGATAATTATTCGTTGCGTAAAGTCAGAAAATTATACAGAAAGAATTAATGGTTTTATTTTTTAGAACAAAAGCATCTAAGCTACTGCTAATTGAATTGTTGCTAGAATTACAAATTATAGTTTAGAATAGGATTGGTATTTCTGTGATTCTTTTTGCTTCTTGATATTTTCTCATTTGTATTTATTAAATAACTAGTATTGAAGCTTTTTCTTTCATGTGGTTTTATCTTCTCTTAAAGAGCTGTTGTAAAATTCCTGAATAACTAGCTGCTTCAGAATCAGCTTGCAGAGTCTTCCTTTTAAGTTAGATACAAACAAAATAAATCATACTTTGTAAATACAGCAAAAAAATAGTTTGCTTTAAAATAGAGAACGTCAGAACTCAAATTGAAGTATATTAAGAATGAAAGCTTTGGAATTAGCTTTACATTTGTTTGTAAATCTAAACAGATACAAAATGGGTCAATATATGTATATAAATATATTGCATTTTTAAAGATTAATGTTTCCTTTTAAGTGCTGATTTCTTTGTATTCTGTTCTCTGTATTCACTATTCAGTAATACCATCAATAAATGTATTTATAAATCCCTTAAAAAAAAAAATGTAAAAACCACTCTTAGCTCTCAGATGGTTCAGATGCAGTTGGTGGGCAGGACCTGGCTTGAGCGCTAGTTGACCGGAAGGTGCGTGACGGTGCCCAGGCCTCTCCCACCCTCCAACCTTTCCTCGTTGCTTCACTGTTCAAATCTCGCACAGCTACCAAGCCCAGTGTAAATGCCACCTCCTCCAGGAAGCCTTTTTCACCCTTGCTGGTCCAAGTTAGAATCTCCCATCAAAGAACCGTACCCCATATAGCACTTACCACTTACTGATGTGCGTGTGTGCGTGCGTGCGTGTGTGTGTGTGTGTGAGTGCGTGTGCTTGTGTATGTGCACGCGTGTATGCGAGAGAGCTCCCCTCCCGGCCCCAGGCCTGTGCTGTCCAGTGGGGCAGCCATTAGCCACATGCGCCTACTGAGCACTTGAAATGTGGCCAGGCCAATTTGAGATGGGGTATAAGTGAAATTACACACAGAACTTCAAGATTTAGTACAGAGAAAAAAAGGAATATAAAATATGTCATGACTGAATTTATTTTAATTACATTAAAATGATAAGATATTAGGTTAAAAAAATATATTATAAACATTAATTTAATCTGTTTCTTTTTACTTCTTTAATGTGCCTACTAGACAACCGGCAATCAAATAAGTGGTTCGCGTCGTATTTACATGGGACGCACTGCACCGGGCGCTGAGTCTCGGCAGTGGCCGTGCTGGGTTCGCTGCTGTTGCCCCAGTGTCTAGTCCACAGAGTAGGGCGGGGGGACAGACACAGGGACGTTTGAGGGCTTCCCTGTGCCAGACACTGTGCTACGTCTTGTCCATCTCGTTTCGTCTTCCCAGCAGCCCTGCAGCGGGACGGGTGGTGTGGCCGAGAGGTGGGGACTAGGAGGGCTCATTTGGGCCCCCAGGTTAGGGTCAGGCTGAGGGGACAGGAAGAGTCCTCTCTGTCTTGCGTCTCCTGAGTTTCCAGGCAGAGAGACACCACCCTCCTGCCCTCCCTGTTCATACTTCCTGGTTTGCCTGGTTCCCAGCGTGGCCTCGGCCACGTCCATTGTGAAATTTGTCCCGTCTCCTCTCAGGCTCTGCCCTCCCCTTCCAGATACAGACACTGTCCTACCGGCCACAGTCACACACCTGGCCTGGTGGCCTTCACGGCTTCAGTAGTGTGGTGGCTTTCAGAGAAGGGCTTCTGAGTCAGGCAGCTGGGCTTGCTGCCAGGCATGGACCTGGGCTCTGGTCTCAAAGTCCCCAGTTCCTTGAGCGCGAGCACCTAGGGGCCCACCCTTAGCCCTGGGAGCAGCCGGTCTCTGCTCCAGAAAGTGGCCACGAGGTGGTGCTGTTCCCACAGCGGCCTCCTCTCCCCCGCGGCCAGACCTCGGGTCACACCTGCATCCAAGAACAACATTCCAGCATTTGCAAGAGGTTTTCCCTGGACTGGTTTTTAAATTTTTTCTCCGTATTCTGCCATGAAAAATGGCCATCTCTGAGTACGCACTTAAAAGTCAAGCAGGTTATAACTCATTGCCAATTTCCCCTGCAAAGGAATTCTGACCCTAGCGGCCCGGTGACCGCCCAGCACGTAAGGAGGAATGCGCACACGTTAAGCAGACAGCACGTGGGTCGTCACGTGTGCAAATATGAAGGCCACAGCCAGAATGACGTCACAGATTATTTAGCAGGGTTTTGTTTTTCCTTTTCATTTTAGCTGCAGGATTTTTTATTTAAAAAAAAAAGGCCTTACATAGAAGTCAAATATGTAAAATAAGGGAAAATTTTAAAAACTATATGGCTGCTCTGGTCCAGATGTGGGGGTAGGAGAATCTCTTTCTAGTGAAGGGTTTTCTGGAGCACAGTTGAAAAATGACCGATCTAGTCCTACTGGCTTATTTTGAAGGAGAACACACTGCGCCTCACAGAGGAGAAGGGACTCCTTCACGATCACCTCCTACTTTGGAAATGTTTGCATTTTAAGTGAAAGTCCCAAAAGGCAGGTGTTTCCACTGAGAAATAAAAATAGCTTTTATTTTCTCTGACGTATGTCCAGATTCTCTTCAAATTATGGTGACCCGGGGCAGGGCGACTGTCCTGCGTGACGCTGCTACCCAGCTCTGTGCGCTTCAAGCCCTTTTGGCGTCTGTTGTCCTGTACGACCCCACAATACCCTTGAGGGACTGGCGGGAAAGCAGATGCCCCGTGTAGCTGGGGAGGAGCCAAGACACAGACGAGACTGGACTTGCATCCGAGCATGCAGTGAGTGAGTGTCAATAAGAAATAAAAGACTAGCACCCAAGACTCTGGTGACGACTCTACACCATGGTCTAGAGTTAAGTGTATGCTAGGCTTGGGGGAAACATTAAAAAAAGGAGGCTGTTAGGTACTGGTGTTCACGTGATGAAAAAGAAGAGTGAAGACAGAGACTTTCGTCCTCAAGAACAGGACCCTGCCTTCTTCATTTTTATAATACGGCTCCAGGGCCAGCAGAATAGCTGGCATATTGGAGGCCTCTGAACAGTCATTGAATGGATAAATAAATGTGACATAGATACATAAATAAATATATTTAGTTTCTGGGACACGAAATTGAAATTCTGCACAAGTTACTACCATTTCTATAACCCACAGAGACAGAAACTCTTGGCAGATGTCTGCAGAGGAGAGTGGCTGGTCTTTCTCTCCCGCCTTTCTGAACAGTTACCCTCTGGGAGACGGCAGGCTTCAAACAGTGCTGGATTCCTGCGGCATTTTTATGGTTCAAATCTTTCCTTTAGTTAATATTTTCTTCCTACCTACTAAGGATTTCTGTTCATTAGGTCTGGAGGGGTGTGCAATAGACAAGACAGATAGCATATTTAATAATATAATGTTTTGGAACTTAGACTTAAACAAATTTTTTTTGATAGAGACAAGGTCTCGCTTTGTCACCCAGGCTGGAGTACCGTGGCACAACCACATAGCTCACCATAGCCTTGAACTCTTGGGCTCAAGCAATCCTCCTGTCTCAGCTTCCTGAGTAGCTAGGACTACAAGGACGTACCACCAGACTCGGCTAATATTTTTCGTTACTTGTAAAGACGGGGTTTCCCTATATTGCCCAGACTGGTCTTGAATAACTAGACTCAAGCAATCCTCCAGCTTGGCCTCCCAAAGTGCTGGGACTATAGGCATGAGCCACCATGCCCAGCCAAAATGAGAATATTTAAAAGTAGCTGTGTGATTTTGAACAGTATTGTTTAGTATAGTATTAATATAATATAGTAGAGTGGAGGTGGGCAAGATGAGAAGCAATGATTAGCAATTCAATGCTGTAACAATTTACTAAACCCTAACACACCAAAAACAAGTAGTAGGTAAGTGCAGAAACAAGGATGAGTTAGACAAGCCAATGGACCTGGACAGATAGCTGGGACACGACAAGCATATAAATAACTACAAAGAAATGTTACAAGCCTACCCATTCAGAACCACTAACGGTTTCGTATGCCTGCTGGTATCCTTCCATCATCAAACACACTCTCTTTATACATGCAGTGTATCTTTTTACCCACTACAAAAACGGAATCATGATATACACATAGTTTTCTACAATCTTTCCATATCAACACATTGTGAGCAACTTCATTCATTCTAAAGACTGTCCATGCCATTCATCCTTCAAATACTTCCTGGGTGCACCACGTACCAGACATGCTATGTGTCATGTCATAGGGAACAAAACACAGTCTCTGCTCTCAGGTATCTTATACCATAGGAATGTGCCATAATTCAGTAAATCGTTTCTCTGTTGCTAGACATTTCAGTTGTAACACTTTTTCAGTTGGTAATGGTAGCTAAGATTTATTGAGCACCTACTATGGGCCAGGAACTATGAGAAGCATTTTATGTGGATTATTTCATTTCATCTTTGTAAACTAGCCTACTGTTGTAGGTCTATTTTAGATGAGGAAATGAAGGATAAGGGTTTAATAATTTACTCAAGGTCATGAAACTATTAAAGTGGCAGAGCCACATTTTATACTCGGGCAGTTTGACTTCAGAGCCCAGACTCTTTCGTCAATAGGAACTACAATGAATGTTTTTGTTCATAATTTTTTTTACATTTATGTAAATATTTCTAAAGAATAGGTTCTTGGAATTAGTGTGTCAAAGGGTATGCAAATATTTTTAATATGTTAAGAAAGAAATTAAAAGACTAGTTTTGTATGGTTGAAAGCTCATTTTTGTGACTGACTGGCCCTGTGCTGCCCAATAGGGCAGCCACCAGCCACATGTGGCCACTGCACATTGGACATGCGGTGAGTCCAAATTGAGATGTGCGCCAAGTATAAAACACACATGGGGTTTTGAAGACAGTATAAAAACAAAGAAAAAGGAATGTAAAATATCTCACCAATAATTTTTATGTTGATTACATATTGAAATGATAGTATTCTAGACCTATTATGTTAAATAAAATATATAATTAAAATTGAGCGTGCCTATTTTATTTTTCATTTAATGTGATGACTAGAAAATTTAAAATTACATTTGTGTTGGATGGTGTTGGATTAGAGATGGGAGCCAGGGGGTGCGAAGCTGGAGACCCCTTTGGAAGAGTCCGGGTGGCAGGTGATGAGGACAGGCTCGGAGCAGAGGGGCTGCCCCAGCCAGGCAATGGGGTTTTGAGCCTGGTGCCCAGGAAGATAGTGGATGTCAGACTCCTGGTTCCCTGTCTATGTAACCCCACCACTGCTACTTTTTTGTCCTCCTCAGGTCCCTTCCTCCAAGCAGAAGCCACTGTCCCCACCTACAAGGCTTGGCCAACTTCCCAGTTTCCAAGTCCAGCCTTGACCCAAAGCAATGTACAACAAAGCCAGCCCAGCTACCGGGAATTTGGCCTCTAGTTGCCTTCCCCCTAGCCCCTGACTTTTTTTAACCAGTTCAGAAATGGTTTTTCTCCAGGTCATAACTGTGCTTCTGCTGTGGTGTCTGGCCCTGAACTGCCTCTAGAGCAGCCCACCT